CAGTTCTCTTAGGCTGCTAACTCCTAGAGAGGGTGTCCTACTGCTTCCCTGGTAAGAGGGGGTTGTTTTGTCCTGAACATATAAAAGTTAGGGAATTTAGGGGCTTTCTGTTCATCTATACCCTCTGATGGTTTAGATGAATATGCTGGAGTAGCTTGCTAGTTTACCATCTTGAGAAGTCTCTCTACAAAACTGTTAATCTCATTTTCCTTGCCCCTTCATTATGTGCTAAACACTGGACACCTTACTATTCCTAGAGCACATTCTTCAGTTTCAGCCTTTATAATTGCTGTTTGTTCTATCAGAAATGTTTCTTTCCAGCCTTACTTTTTTTTTTGTATTTTAGGATAGGGTCTACAGGGTCTTACTGCATAGATTGGACTCATAGTGATCCTCCTGTTTACAGCCTCCCAAGTGCTTGGATTACAGCCAGGTACCACCACACCCAGTCTCAATCCTACTCTCAGCATGCCCTAGTCACAGGGCCAGAACGGCAGGATGGGAGATCAAACTCCCGACCCCTGCTCTTTCCTTACTTTTAATGTCTGACTTCTTGCATTATGCTAGGGTCATATCATTGAGAGTATCTTTCCTCCACCTGAATTAGCCCTCTATTCAGTTACATCACCTTGGTTTTAGTTCCTCCATTGTATATATTAGCATTTGCAAAGCTCTAATTTATTATTTACCATTAATTTGTTTATCTCCATCTACTAAAAGATCACCTAATTTGAGGACAAAGCCTTTGACTATACTATTCACTGTTGGTACTTCCATACAGTTCTCAGAATATAGTAGATAGGCACACTCAAAGGTTCTTTAGCCATTAGAGGTTAATAATTGAACATGTTTTATCATTGAGTTATTACTGAAAGGTCCAGATATTTCAGAATGGTCATGTTTAAGCTTCAGAGTATGACATTCCAGAGTACTCATGCTCTAGTTACTGTCTGACTTACCAGTTTTACTGTCTACTTCCTGTCTTCTTGAAGAAGAACTTGGTGAATCACATTAGCTAGGAAAGGTGATCCTCAGCTGTATGCTGAAGAATTGGCTTTAGCAGAAATTTGAGTGTGTGTGTGTGTGTGTGTGTGTGTGTGTGTTGACGATAGAGTGCAAAAGACAGAATATTTGTCACCAGGGTAGGCTAATGAAAGGAAAAATATAATTAGAAGAGGGAGACTGGTAGAAATAGGTCATAGATAGATAGATCCAAAAATTTTACACATAGCTCTTCTAATCTTATTTCCTTTTCTACATCACCTTCACATTCATTGTGCATCATTTGTTTTTGAACAGCTCTATACAGTAGACAACGCCATTGTTTTAATCCATATTATTAGATGAAGAAGCAGACTGCAGATTCCCAATTAAATGCAATATAGTTGAGCTGGGATTTGACACCTGCTCTTCTGACTGCCCGTTCACTACTCTTTACAGTTCCATCATATGGAGCTTGGGTCACATTGTCAAATATACTATAAGCTGAGGTATCTGGGTTTGATTCTTGTCCCTTCTTGCTAAGCTAACCATAGGGTTAAAATAAACAAGGATAGCAACAGCTTTATGACCACTCCCAAAAAGCCTCTCTGTAGAGTGTCATCTAAGAAGCCCAGCTGACGATCCATCTATGGTAGTGTTGTTCTATCACAATATCTTCATATATCAAGAATATTGACCATTGATTATTAGTTAAATAATATTAATTAAATGATTAATATCAATACTTTTCTCAGTTTGTAGCTTGTCTTTAAATTTTATTATGATTTCATTTTTTTTTAATTTTTTTTTTTTTGCGGAACCAGGGATTGAACTCAGGCCCTTGCGCTTGCCAGAGAAGTGCTTATTCCACTGAGCCATCTCCCCAGCCCCCCAATGATTTCATTTAATATAATAAATTTGAAATATTTTCTAGTGAAATCTGTCAAAATATTCATTTATGTCTCCTTCATACCATACCTTGAAAGCCCCTTACTTTCAAAATGTTTTAAGTTTGTTGTATATTTTCTTTCTTTCTTTCTTTCTTTCTTTCTTTCTTTCTTTCTTTCTTTTTTTTATTTCAGGGAAGGATCTACAGGGTGTTCAGTGTCTCACTATTATATCAGACTCATAATGATTCTCCTGTTTATAGTCTCCCAAGTGCTAGGATTAAAGGTGCACACCACCACGCCCAGTCTCAATTGCCTACCACCTCAGTGCTCCCCAGGGTTGGGGCCAGTATTGCAGGCCTGGGGATCGAACCCCTGGCCCCTGCGCCTGCTGGCAGGCACTTTAATCCGCTGAGCTATTTGGCCAAACGTTTTTTCTAACAGTACCGCCATATCTTATTGTTTTTCATTGGTGTAATCAATCTGCAATTTAGATTAACTAGCAATTTAACTACAGATTACTGAATGTGTAACCAGTGGTTCTGACACCTCTTAGTGAATAATTCATCCTTTCCTTGCTGAATGGGAATGATGTGTTGCTTGTATTTGTTTTTGGCTTTTATGATGTTTTCCACCAGTTGACCTATACTAGAGCCATTATGACACCAATATAATTGTTACAGTTTAATAATACTTTAAATTTTGGGGAAGGAAAGTTTTATTGTCTTTTCCCACAAACACCTTGGGATTATCATATATTTTATTCCTCCAGATGTACTTTGGGATTATTTTGTCTAGATTTTGTTTATATTGCTTTAAATGTATAGATGTCATTTGAAGAGAACTGAAATCCTTGTAATAGTGCACCTTACAATTTCATTTAAGTCTTCTCTTAGAAATTTTAAAAAATATTTTACATAGATCCTGCATTCATACTTACTCTATAAAGTGTGAGAAATTCTGCTTCTTCAGTCTTCTTTCTGGTTAATAATATAGATGATGGCACAACCATTTCTTTACTTGCTTAATGTGATGATACTAATTGTTGGTATCTCCCCAACCTTACTTCCTCTACTTCAAATGGTAGTTTTTAAAATGAATAGATAGGAAGAATTTTAATCATCCTTGAAGTCACGCTGCATGGGAACACTACAATTATGACATAAGACAGCAGAAATAGGGGGAAATTCCAAAAAGTGTCACATGTTATTAGTTCCTGGTGGAGCTTTGAATCATATTTAAAGTTTATGAGTAAAGAATAAAATCATGGTAAAATACTATTAAGCAGTCCAGAATTTGAGAGCCAGCTGACCTGTAGAGTTTTTCATGCCAGCCATTATGTAACCATTCACAGTAGTCAAGGGTTTGTAGTTGTTCTAATAAGACAGTTTTAAAGCATTTAAGTAAGTGTCTGTTTTCAGCTCTAAGGCATGATTTTTATCTGCTTCAATATGAGAGGAGAATTTTATATTTCATCAGTCATTTCATAATAAAATTTTGTGAGACCTCTATTATAGGTTGTTGATTAAATTTTGCTGTTGGAAGTCAACAGTGCCAAAGAGCAGAGTTTAATGGTTGGATTCTGAGATGAAAGGGTTTGGGATAGCAGTGCGTGTTTTTTCTGAGTTAATCATTTGGTCATCTGCTGCACAGCATAAGATGCTTCTAGAACCACCTTGGAGCAGCCCCAGATCCTTTTCACTTTTCTGTCAAGTGAATATACAGAAGGTAATCACATGGCCATATACTTTACAGACAAAGAGCAAAGATCCTTGACTCACTTAGAATGCTTTGTCTTTAGACTCTAACCACATATCCTGTGTCTTTTTTTGTACCAGGGATTGAACTCAGGACCTCATGCTTCCCAGGCAGGTGCTTATGCCTCTGAGCTATCTCCCCAGCCCCTCATGTCTCTGTTAAAGGCAACTTTCAGATTATGTGCTGGCTCTACAAACTTGTTGTGGGTGGGTAGATTTCAACACTCTGTGCCTATTTGCATACATTTGCATATTGTGCTACTGTATTTGGGGTGATTCAGATCACACAATAATGACCTCTGTTACTATGCTATCTTCAGAGGACTTCTGTTTGTTTGCTGTGATTGACCATATAAAATGGGCTTTATCATTGTTTGATTTCCATAAAATACAGGTTTGGGAGTATGATTGCTAGCAATTTAAAATCAATTGGGAATCCCATGATATTCTCTCTTATGAAAGTTTTACTTCTACTAGTTGTTATGGTTTGTGTCTAGATGTCCCCCTAAAGTGTCATGCAGTCACAGGTGGAGCTTTTGCAGCGGTGGCTGGATCAGAATGTGTGATGCTGTGATTAAGCACTTGTGATTATTAAATTAGTCCACTGATTGATTTGGCACTCAGCCTAAACAGGTTAGCTTAGATAGGATATAAAAAGGAAAGACAGAAGCTACTATTGTCACTTGCTTGCTACTTCCCATCTGCCTGCTCTCCTTTGTCATCAATTGTTTCTCCTCTGTGATGTCCTTCTGCTGTGCCACCATGCATTGGAGCTAGCCAACTATGAAATTAATCTATGAACTGTGATCCAAATAAACCTTTCCTCTCTTAATTTTGGGCATAAGAAATTTTGTCTCCGTCACAATAAAAGTAACTAAGACACTAATTTTCTAGAAAAGATACATCTTATTAACACAAGTATGATTCCATGCCTGATTGTGGATGTCAGTAGGAGGATAAACTGACTGAGCTCAAGTCTCTGCTGTGCAACACTAAAGGAAAATCAGCTTCCACAATTGATCATTTTCTCATGGGAGTTCCTGGCTTCTAGTAAAGACACAGTATCTTGTTTTAAAAACCAATTAGTAGTCCTAATAGTGAAGTGATCAGCAGGACCTGAATTGTTTACCTTTGAAAAACACCAATAAAAACCAAACAATAAACATAGAGCTAAACTGTGTAGCTTTAGTAATTCTAGTCTATGTGATCAAGTGCTTAGAACTACTATCTACTTCTCTCATCTGGTTGTATATATCTTCTGATTCACTGCACCTGGGGACTTGTCTGGTAGTATATATCATCATGCTTCTTTTTGCCCAGAGACATTTAATATGTTTCATTAACAGCTCATCTATTCTTGCATTAATTTTCCCAGGAAAACAGAAGTACCTGTGTGCCAGTAGAAATGATTGCACCATTGATAAATTCCGAAGGAAAAATTGTCCATCTTGCCGTCTCCGAAAATGCTATGAAGCAGGAATGACTCTGGGAGGTATGTTACATTTCTTTCTCTTCTTGTCCTTCTGCTGCTTTCTCCCTCTATTCTTTGGTTACCTCTTTAAGCCAGATTTACTTCTTTGACACTTCCAAGGAGATGAGCCGTGCTCCAAGTGCAGACTGAATTTTTTACATCCAATGAAACCATCACCCAACTGGTGCCTACATCCTTAGCCATGCCATCCATGACACTGGGGTTTGGCATAGGATTAGGAGGCGTAAAGCAAGGATCAGGAACCAACAGAGGGATATTGATGCTGGATTATAATACGCTGTGTTCCCCCAGCAACATTGGCCTGATGCTGTTTGTTGGTAGCCAAGATAAGGGAACTAAGAAATCTGGAACAGTCACAGGTACAGGATGACCCAGGCACAAGCTGGCTCTGAACACCTAGGAATATGCCCCAGCAAACTGGTGCCTAAATTGTAGGACCAGGAACCTGGAATGAGAAGTTGTTTCTGTTTGAAGCATGTTACTAGGCTGACAAACAGAGCTAATTTCCCATCCCATATATCCTAAAGATTAGAAACTCTTTTAATCTTTCCTTTTTTCATTTGTTTTACAAATCTGTTGATCACTTCCAAAAACTATTTTTTAGTAATGCAGTAGCTGGATACAGCTCTTTCAAGGTAATCCTCTGTCATAAGGCTCTTTGTGCCCTAAGCCTGTGGCTACCATAAGCATTGTCACCATTCCAAATAGTTTGTCACTATTTGATGTACACTTATACTTCCTGATTCTAAATTCCTCATCCCTTCATGTTTATATCTGCTCAATACCATGGTCCTCCCTGCTGCTTGCTGCTTCGAGAAAGATTAATTTCACATGAGAAAAGCAAGCTCATTAGTCTACTTTGATTTAGAAATGAACTCAAAAAAAATGCAAGTCTTTATGCCCAAAACTATAGCCTCATACCTGATTATTCATTATCAGTTTAGCAAATCCAAGTGGGTGGAATCCAGCTTTCTCTTCTCTCCTCTTAAGACTAATTTAGAGCAATTTTCCATATCTGGCTTTCTGTGAGGTGCTCAATACCTTGACTTCTTATACATACATTTCAAGACACTAACTTCTTTTGTAACCCTGGAGCAACACCATATGTGTGTCCCTATGCAGATAAGTATATCATCCCCTCCTCACAGACTAGTAGCATTATATAAGCAGACAAATGTACCTCAAACAAAGTGACCCAGCCTTTAGCTGAAATCAACAGAAACAGCTTTAAAAATGTCTAATATGCAAAACAATCACAGAAAACTCCCTGCAAGTAGCTTTTCCAGTAGCTACCTCAAATGAGACTCAAATATGTGGGGAAAAATCAACCTTGTTTTTCCTTATTTATTGTACTCCAAAGAAATTCTGCAATTGTGCACTGCAGTGGGGGACAGCATGACACAGGCCTAATGTGGGGAGCACAGAGGAAAAGTCACAAAAGATGATGAAAGTATCAAAAATGAGTGTTCTTCATGTAAATCTTCCAAGTCCAAGACAAGATTTTGATACACTAGATTCTCAAATATTAGCTTTCTGTGAATGATGTGTAAGAGATGTGTGCTTCTAGGTGAGAACTCCTTAGTGTGCCATCTTTGCTACAAATTGTAAACCTATTTTGATGTAAGTGAAATTTAATGGCAACAAAAATCCTCATAACATTTGATACTGATTCTTATTTCACTATCTTTTATTATAAACCAGTTTTGTGACATGATTATGGTGAACTCCTTTTCAAAAAGACAAGCTTCTGTAAAACAAATGATGTCACTGCACTATCTAGCATTTAGAATTGAGGTTGTAAATTGATTTATTGAGAAGAGGGGTATAGTAAGTTTTCAAATTGGTTTATTGTGTAGAGTGCTCAGATATGAGTGGGCTTCAGCAACACAATGAAGACAAGCTGGTAAAGGCTGTGGCTGGCTTTCATTTCAGTTCCATCCCCATGATATTTATTGTCTGCTGCATATAAGACACCATGCTAGGAATTAGAGCTTAGGCTGACAAACTTCAAGTAATGCTTACAAGATACAAGAATACTTGATATGATGTAAAAGGCCTTGCCTTTGGAATCAGGCAGACCTAGCTTTACAATCCTAGCACCTGTATGTACTATGTGATCCTCTGAACCACAGTTTCTTTACCTGCAATTTAGAAATAACATTCTCACAGAGTTACAGGAAGGATCAGATGGAATGATTAATGTGAACATGTTTGACAAATGACAGTGTTAGACAAAGTTTGGGAGGCATGTTATGACAATCGTATGACTAATAATTTAACTGGGAAGACTATTCTTACCACTTTCCAGTGGCTTTTAAACTGAGTAAATTGGGCCAGTCAAATAGCTCAGAGGATTAAAGCACCTGCAAGCAGGTGCAGGGGGTAGGGGTTCAATCTTCTGGCCTGCCCTGTTGGCCCCGCCCCAAGGGAGCACTGAGACAGCAATTGAGACTGGGCATGGTGGTATGCGCCTGTAATCCCAGCTCTTGGGAGGCTCTAAACAGGCAGATCACTGTAAGTCTTATCTAGTAGTGAGACCCTGAACACCCTGTAGACCCATCCTTAAAAATACAGAAAAAAAAGAAAAAAGTAAACTGAGTAACTTGTTATTCTCTCTAACATGTAACAGTTCTCACATGCAGATCTCCAGAAATTCCTCTTTATTATCTCAAATTTAAAATCGCCATCGTTTGTCAGGTGCAAAAGTTACATTTCTTGTTTTACAGGTCTTGCATTATCTTGGTCTTAACCACCCATCAGAAAAGTATAAAAATGAGATATAAAAATTACAGCCATATGCTGAGCTCTAAAAGGCTCAAGTCAAAAACTTCTGACATTGCCAGTCCTACAGATAACACACTACTATTATGGACTATTGGACTATATTGGATTATTTTGTTGAATTCACACACTTTCAATATTTAAATGGCAATGGAATACTCTTCTCTGACAAAACTAAACAAAAAAGGGGATATAAATGAAGGACCATTTTGTATCTGTATATACAAAAGAGTTAGGATAGATATACAGCTGTTTTCTCTTAATTCAATGAGAAGAAATATTTGTACTAATAGTGTTTGGACAGGATATGATGTCTGCATCATGTACTATGAATAACTAGTATGAAGACAACAATATGCAGTGTATTCATTATTGAAACTGTCTTACTAATCTGTTTTGAAACTGTCTCATTGCTATTTGTTTCTCAATAAAATTAATAAAAAATAAATAAAATAGATAAAATATTTCCTGTAAAAAAAAAAGAAAATTGCCATCATGATCCTGTTTGGAAACTGGTTTTCCTTTTTATTAATTTTATTGAGAAACAAGTAGTAATGAGACAGTTTCAAAACTGATTAGTGGGACAGTTTCAATAATTAATACATTGCATATTGTAGCTGATCTTAATAATTAGAAAAGTATCCATTATAATCAAGCACTGTTTTGGGAAAAACTCAGTGTTTATCTAGGTAAGTCACTGCTTGAAAATCAAAATTTTGTATTTTTTCAAAGTATTTCCACTTTCTCTGCCTTCCTACAGTCCCCTCTAAAATTCATTGTTAACTTGTAAATTCATTGTGTTCCATACCTTTACGCAAATAATAGAGAAAAGAAAGCAATAATATAAAGTGTCTCTTGAGAGTACTTTAGCACTACACTTCCATTTTCATAAGATTTGGATTTAGCATAGACATTTTTTATCACCTTGCACAATTCATAGAATTTAATTTTCTTCTCATCACTAAAATATAGACACAGATATAGATATAGAAATAGATATACATATACATACATGGATGAAGGTGAATCCATTTTCCTATCATACACGTTAAGGAATCATTTCATCAAGGGCCTTTCTGGTGTTAATGTTTTGTGATTTCATATATAAAGCCACACAGAAGGGATCCTAACTTTATGTGTCCTTATTGGATTGCCTATTCCCAGAAGCATAGATACTCAAGATATATGGTTTGATTGGTTGGCATAATGATTTCAACTACCTTCATTCACACATACACAAGATGTATTATGTATCTAAATCTAGACTAAATTGATAGATTATCAAAAGTCGATGACAGGGGCTGGAGAGATGGCTCAGTGGTCTAAAGCACCTACTTAGAACAAGCTTGGCAAAGCATTGGGGACCGCGGTTCAATCCCCCAGCACCACATGCCAGCCAGCCCGCCCCCTGGTGGGCTGAGCTGGCCACACACACCTCTCTCTCTCTCTCTCTCTCTCTCTCTCTCTCTCTCTCTCTCTCAAATAAATAAAAAAAATTAAGATTTAAAAGTCGATGACAGAAGATCTATCCTGGTATTTCAGAAAACCTGGCACTGTGTAACTGATGGTTATTTGGTCTCAAGGTATCAAGATTCGCAATCTGGCTTTCTCTATAGTTTTGCATTCATGGTTAGTTGGAGCTGTTCATCTCTGAGATGCTTAATATATTTTGCAAAATTTTTCTATTTCTAGGTTTATGTACCTGTGTTCTTGTGGGGTTTTTTTCTTATCAGATATAGTGTTTCTGAAAGGTTTATATAGGTAGTTGGATTTTCAGGATGCTTCCCTTAAGGATCTCCAGGCTGTTATCTGCCATCCAGAACAAAGACAGGTCTCTTTTATATATGATCCATTTCAGGTTACCTTTGAAAAACATATATTGTTAATTGCCTCAAGAATTGAACTCTTGGGTCAAGGAGATAGCTCTGTAGAATAAGCACTTGCCTGGCAAGTGTGAGGGCCTGAGTTCAATCCCCAGCTGCACACACACAAAAAATTGAACTCTCTAATAATACATGTGGTGGCAGATACCTGTATTCCCAGCACTGGGGAGGATCATTGTGAGCTCAAGACCAGCCTAGGATACAAAGTGAGCTCATGGCCAGCCTGAACTGAATGGAAAAACCTTGTCTCAAAAAGACCAAAAAAAGAATTTAACTCCCTTACCTATTCTTCATTTAAAAAATACTTATAAGTACAATTTCACATTAAGGCCTTTT